TTCAAGATAAATCAAGGATTAATATTTCAAACTGATTAGATAGCCATGCTTAGAATAAATAAACTAAGCTGATAAATGCGCGTGCAACGCGATCGCATTCTACAGTTATGTACGTTATATGCAAACCAACTCGATCACGCTAACTAATTCACTGATATTATCAATTTATGATCGCGCGTGCGTGATTCGGCACAGGCGAGACTGTTTCGAGCGGGAACAAAAGCGAAAGCTAGGGTGTTTGAAGCACATTATTCGTATAATTATTTGATGTGGTCATATCAAAGCTATTCGAAGCGTAAAGTGCTAAACAAGAATTTCTAACACTAACTTTGTAATAATGAAGTATCGGGTAGTAATTCTCCAAATTAATGACACGCAAAAAAATTAAATGCATTTGAAACACCAGTGATAACAAAAATACATCTGTTTTTCTGCTCAGGTATAATTGAGACGTTCAATATTGTTTTAACAGCTGTTGAAATACTGATTTTTTTGTTTATATATTATTATTATATTATATTTTGTTTATATATTTTGTTTGTTATTATATATTATATTGTTTATATATTTTTTTGGTTATAAAAATTTCTGGTAATTTCTGCTTATGTCTCAACTTTGAATATAAAAATTCTAGGATGATCCGCCCCTCGAGGCCAGCGAGACGATGTGCTCTGCATATCTGGCCTATCATCTCTCAAATCTGCGGAACCTCGAGGGATACCTCAGCAGACGCATCTATATAAAATTGCAAACCGGTGGCCCCCGCGCGATGGGATCTGTCGAAAAAGGCATAAAGCGACCAAAATGTGTCGCACAAAAGCCCCTTAAGAAGGTCAACCGGACTCGAGGGTCAAGCGGAGTCAACCGATGCGATTTGGTTTATGGCGCGAGCGCGTATCCCTTCCCTCTCGTATTATTGTATTTTCGACGATGATTTACGATAGGAGCGACCGCGCATTTGTGTTTCCCTCTAAATTCTTTTTTTTCTTTTACTCGCCCGGCAACGTATACCGCGCCCGAGCAGCAATGCAGCGATGCGTCGCGGGACGTCATCAGCAACACTCCGGAATTTCCGGAGCTGACGGTCGTTTGCGCGTCACTCCAAAAAAGGCAGCAATTTTTTTTGTCGAATGTAAAGCAATAAACGACATGTCAAATTCAAAGCAATAATACATATATAATACATACATAAAATGTGCCGTTTTAATTTATTTATCGAACATAAAGCAATAAACCGATACGTCAAATCTAAATGATGTATATGAAATTTAATTTCCTCTGTTTTAAGCAATTATATTCCTGTTATTTATTTGATCTTTCCATACTGCAAAATTAAAATATCGCTATGTGAAATGTAGTTTGGTTTACATTTGAATTCATTATTTTTTTCAAATTTTAGAGCTGAGCTCTCCTCACGCTCACTCCTGTGTCCACTACTTCACTTTATAATTCTATTTTAAATTCCAATTCCATATTCTATATTATTTTCCAGTCCATTATCGTGAACTATTATCGTGATCACTGATGTGTTTCGCAAGACTACTTTTATTTGTGCGCTGAATTTATAATACGTCCGCGTTTACAGTACTTAATCATGTTCACTACTCCCGGAATTAAGAAAGGATATATTGCTTATTTATACATTTTCTCTCAACGACATTATCTATACGGAAAGTTTTGCATGAGAGCATACATGACGTAACCCGTAAATCGTAAGATTAGAAGTACGCAATGAGGCGTGAGGTTGTAAATCTGCCGCCTCTGTGGAAGAAAGTAGCCCTCGTAAAAATCTATAATGAATCCCACACGTAACAGTGACCTATCGTTGCGCTTACTTTCGATGCGCTGAGTTCGATGCACTCGAAGCTTCGCCCATCTCAATGGATGGAACGCTGAATTGAATCGCTCGCAGAAGGAAAAGCGGAAGGTAAAAAAAAAAAATAAAGTTAATCGTTACAGAAAACTGTTGCAAAAATTGTTACACAACTGGCCGCTGTTACATAAAAATGAGCTGAAGTCACCGAGCAGTAATTTTAAGTAAATTAAGTTTTTAAAACGCAAAGATGCCCGCCCAAGTTGCGTGTCTCAAGTTAATTTCTGTAATTCACGTTATTTTAAGATTATATCTTAAATTCGCTTACGCGTGCTTATGTATAATACAATATTTATGTGTTACGTAACAATACGCAATAATATTGCGAAAATACGATATGCAAAATATGTATGCACGTATCTTTTTCATATTGTATTCATAGCGTATGAATGCGCGATTCGTTTCGTTCAAACGATCAGATTGCAGCGGACGAATATATCACTGATGATATAAGGTCTAATTTTATCGAGGCTAATGGGAGGGCGCACGTTAACTTAAACGATTCAAGGATTTCTCGAACCCGATTAAAAACTCCCCCCGGGAGAGATATTGCCCCATCGTTAATGTAAATCGCGATTAACGCAATTAAAAACTCGGGAACGCGTCGAGCAGGTTTAACGCGGTTATCGCGACCTTAGCGAGTGGCGCATCGGAGCGCACGGGAGCGGAGTGCCTCTGACAGATGGCCACCAGAGATTTCCGCAAGAAAATAACGTTTACAAAAACGTTGACGGGAGATACAGCGTGAATATGGCGCGCGCGCGCTTTGGAGGCAGCCGAGGCGATTCCTAGAGAGCGACTGTAATCGTTAATCCTTGCGAAAGCGACTCGTCACGATTTAAGTGGAACCATTCGCTACCTTTGCATATTAAACGCCGAGATACCGCGCGTTGTAACGTCAACTGCGCTATTGCACACACGGGTCTATTAAGCCAGCCTCCGTCAATGGGGGGATTAAAGATGAAAAGATAAGATTTCCCGTCCTCTAATTTGAATTTTTACTCAGGAGATGCGTTTAGCGACATATTTAAATTATCCCGTGAGAAATAATCGCAACGTAAAATTGACGAAACGTAAAGTGTTGCATTACACGACACCGCGTCGTCGTCGTGCGCAATTTCGATACCGAGAATCGCGATAATCCTCATACTGGAACAAGGAACACTTTGTCGTGTACATACAAGCATGTATAACACGCGCGCTTCTCGCTTCTCCAATCCGCTGTAACTTCATCCCGTCTTCTTTATCCCCCATTTCAGATCCACGTCCGGCAGCAGCTTCTGCATTTAGCGAAAACCGTTCCACGTTTGAAACGCGTGCGATATCGACGATTTTGCGCTACGCTCTCTTACTGCTACGTAATAAACTTAAGTATACCGAAAAGTATGCGGCGGACGATTACATTGGAATGTAAACTTGCTGAATTACGGGGAATTAATATTACACGTACCGGGAATGGTACGTACATGACGTTTATATGGCCACGGGTGCACCGAGCGTGTGAAGTAGCGATAGGTAAAAGCGAATCGACCGCTTTCACGTGCTTTGCAATTTATACCGGCGCATATAGTTCAGCGAAATGAATGCGTCGCTCTATCGATCCTTCTATAATTCCACCGTTATTCCGAGTTTAACGTAGTACGCGCGTGATTTATTAAAACACGGAGTTTGAAGTCCTCACGGCGAATGTGTAACGCAATAAAATACGAGAGACATCACGCATTAAGGACAGAAGGACAGTAAACACAATGACGAACAGACACAAGTACTTTATGGAAATAAATTTCATGTTGAAGAACAAAAGCCCCCGTTCTTAACTGTTAACGGCAAAATTTAGAACGACAAGCGTGAACTCTGGTGCGCCTTTGATCAATTTCTGTAATCAAATCTTGTAAAGTAAATCTTTCTGGACGAGGAAGATACCTGGAGAGAGCGGTAATTTTCTTTGAAAATGTGTAACTTTGCTTTCAACCTTACTCGGCAAATACGACCACCAACTTTTTGAATTCAATATCTCTACCTCTTCTTTATACCATCTCTTTTCTAATCAATTTAATATCCCCATCTGATAAGCAATATTTTTAAAGTATAATTTTTAAATAAATATTTCCAAAAGAAGGAGAATTTATTTATTTAACTCCCGAAATGTCTCTAATTCTATTCGCTGTGCATTCTTCTTGCGTCTCTCGAAGAGGCGTGAAGACACACGATCGTCTTATTGCAGGCGCTACTATCAATTAACCATTATTGTCTGTCGTATATCACCATTGCTAAACGGAGCCGTAGATGTTTCGCAATCATGTTCGAGATTGCAAATGCGAGAACACATTGACTGAAACTGCAATCGTTCCACCGCGGAAAAATATCCCACTCGCGAGTCATTATTTTTCACGAAGGCGCGGCGTTGCGGTAGACGCGATAAATTGCGGAATTTCTGCAATATCGCGAAAATTCGTCGTTCATTTATAATGACGCAATTAGTCCACGTAATTGATTCCGGCATTATTGAGACGATGTACAAATTGTACACGGCAATCATCCTTCCTTTAATTTGAGACTCGTATTATTTACACGCCGTGAGTTTGACGTGACATTTGACGTTAACATTTGCATAATCAAAAACACGTTTGTTGTGAAAGATCTCAGTCGTTGTGATATGATAGGAACTTTGTTAAAGGGACTGCAAAAAAAGTTGCGGAATAACCGTATTTTCTGAAAGCTGTATTCAGAAACAACATAATTGCTGGCGATCGATTGCTCCGGATTGCTGAAAACTCCTGGTGCGAACCGACCCGGCGTTACAACTGTACTTCGTTAACAACATTTGCCGACATTTATCGATTATTACATAATGTGATTTGTGCTAACAGTCGTAGAACAAACTGAAATGATTGTATTACGTGTATAATAGCGCAGTAATGATTCATTGAATCTGGAGTAACGGAACGGAGGGGGGGGGGGAATGCAGAGTCGCATTAATTCGCTATTGTCGCTGCTTAAGCGCCGCGCTTTAAATACTCAAAAAAAATAGCGATAGATGTAATAGGTAGTACATTAAACGATACAAAATACAATAACCCTTTTATGTCACGGAAAGGCGATCGGATGTCGTTGAATGTATGCTCACCTCTGCCGGACGTGAAGAAGACAGTGGCGGACCGACGTTTTCCGGTCGCTATACAAAATTCCTATGGTGCAGCGCGGAAAAACACCCCCACAGCTGCGGTACTGACGGTTCGTTCCTCTCGGAAAGGCACAGGTGTCATCGCACTGTCACGGCGCACGCAATTCACGATTGCCGCATAGGATACCGCGGCATGTCTTTATCTCTCTCTCTCTCTCTCTTTCCTTCTCTCTCTATCTCTCTCTCTCTCTCTCCCTCTTTCTTTCTTCCTGTTTCTATCTTTCTTCTTGTCGTACGTGACGTATCGGTAATCGCGACTCGAGAAACAATCGGGAATTTCGGGGAGTGGATGGAACGTGAACCTCGATCGATGTCCGTGCGCAGACTGCCCGCACCATCGTCGCCGGTTGCCTCGCGTTCGTCATACTACGGCCCCTCGTTGCGTCTTTCTCCCGCGCGTGTTTCCGCTCTTTCGCTCTTTCCCCCACCGCATGCTCTCGCCTCCCGGCCTGCTCCCACATGCGCGGATTTCCCTTCAAAATTAATTAATTAATTAATAATACATTGTATGGGAAAAAAATCATGTAACACGTGTGTATCTAATGCATGTACATTCACAGAAATGTATAATCAACGTTATAGAATGAGGGAAAGCAGATTAGGAAATGTAACGAAAAAATGTTTGATATTATCTTCTACCAAGATTTAGATTTTCAGTTAAATTCAAACTTTGTCAAATTTTATGCTATTGATAATATATCTAATGTGTTGCCATATGGCAAGAAGAGGCATTCAAGAAGGTTTAGGAATAAATTCATTTGATACTGCCGTGTGGCAATAGTAAAGATTATTGTAGGTTAATTGCATTAAGATATAATAGCAGTCGCACAGCTGACAGTAATTTAAACTTCCTCACGTACCTTTTAAGCCGATGACACCTACAGGCTTTTCGTAGGATATCTCTCCTTTCATCATTTTCTTTCCCGATATATTCAAGTTCTCCATAAATATATTCATATTTGATATTAAATAGCAACGTTCATACAATTATTATTTAATGACACGAATTCGTGTTCCTCTCATATAATTATATCAAAAATTTTGCCAAATTTTATGTCATAAAAAATACAATTATTCATGTGCACGTCAGTTTTAATTTTGCATTAATTGCATTTAACTTTGTAAATTTTACGTTGAGTGCATTAATAATTAATTTGGTTTTAAAAAAAGTTAATTTTTATCTTCCCGTCGGTTATATATTTATTTAATGTAAAAAGTTTTCTTTGTATCCGTTATATCGTTAATAAAATATTAATTATATATCGTACATAATTTAAACACACGGCTCACTAATAAATTATACGGTGCACGGTCACTAGTTTATGTCGAGAAACATCCGTTTAATAAATAATGTACCGAATAATTACAACCAAAATTTCCATTTTCGGCGAAATTAAATGCACATCATCATTACACGCTTGAAATCAATAACAAATTCATATAAGAGTCAGTAATGAATTCGTAAAAGATCATTTCGTCAGCGCTCGTATCGTTGTTTCTTGAAATTGTAATTACTAGTAAGCAATAAATGAGTCGAAAGTTTCAATAGTAGTACGTAAAACGATTTCATAATCGAGAAATTTCTTTTAACTATACACAGTAGGTTCTGTTCCACTTGGGACGCGCGGCGCTCGGAGGTCTAAGTCCGCCGTGGCCCGTTGTCGGATATGTGACGAGACATCATTAAGATTCCGTGCGTCGGTTTCAAAACCAACTGGCATTTGTTCTCTTGTAAGTGTGAGATAGAAAAAGGGCACCACACCCTGGGGCTGACGTTTTCCTTGTGTAGACACGGCGATATATAAACTTTGTTCATCGTCTGCATTCGAGAAACTATCGTTTAACGCGCTAGCGTCTACAATAATAGAATAATTAACGCTAGAATAAAAACGAACGTTGATAATAGATTTAGAAATAGAGTAATAATTAGCGCGATGCTGTACAGCTTCCCGTTCTGCAATAGAAAGATCGTAGAAACGGTTGCTGAAATATTTCATCGCAAAAAGTATAAATACATTGTGCGATAACGCGAGTTCCTCAAGGATGATTTGTGATAATTAAATGTAGATGTACTTATAATTTTTTTTATTTTACTAGTTATATTCTTTTTTGTCAAAACATTTCTGTGTACGTCAAAACTCTTACGAGATTTCGGCCACAGAAATTCACAAATCTTTCGATAATAATAGAGACGAAAGTTCTATTATTTTCTATTATTTTTGAGAATTTTAAAGCAAATTGTGCATTACGATATAAACGTAGAACAAAATAATTTCAGGAATAATCCGAGAAGCTGACAGGCGTGGACAAACACAATTTCGTAATCAATGCAAAAACAAATGAAACGAATTAAGGACAAATAGCCGGCGAAGTTATGAAGGCCTTTGTATCTGCCGCATCGCAATTACGTTCGTTCGAAAATGACGTGCATCACCGCGTTTTCGTCGTCTTTGGAAGCGGTCGCGACTGAGGATCGGGAAGATCCTCTCCGCTATTCTATATGAGAATCTTAGCTCGTTTAAGGTAAGTAACTGCCACGCAAAAACTGGACATTCCGCTGGTGTTTGTCCTTTTTTCATTCCACCCGTGTGTTTTTCCCCTTCCCACTTTTCATCGCTTCGCCTCGAAGAGCGATGGTGACACTTCAGCCTCCGCTAGATGCACGGATGTATATAATCCCGATGCAATCCTCTAAAAATATGTCAAACTACACGTTCGTAAAGCCGTTAAGAGATATAATTATCGCGTTACACGCGAAGTGCAACTCAAAATGCAAGAAGATACATAATTGAAATAAGGGTAGACAGTTCGGATTCGAGTTTTGAATTTAAGCATTCAAATTGAATAAACTGAAAGGAATTTATAATCTTATAAAATTACATATCTTTCAAACGTCCAAGAAATAAGAAATTAGATGCATTTGAAATTTAAATATATTGTGCTATCATTGTTCTTTAATTCTAAAGTTTCGAAATACATGTATGTGCATTTGTAATAATATCGAGAATATTAATTAGCTCTTTTTTCTTAACAATATCAAATTAAAAGTATAACAATTATTAAATCAATTTTTACTGATCTTACGGAATTAAAAGAATCAATCTAATTTGAAAAAATTATATTCCAATTTTTAATATTTTTGTATTATTATAATATATAAAAGTATTTAAAATTAAAGGGAAAATTTCGCGGTTACGTGCATTTAAAGGAAACATATATATAATTATTTAAAAGACATAATGTTATTTATAGTCCTTGACTAAAAGTTTGCAATATACTATTAAATATCCCTACGTGGATAATTAAACAGTACCGACATTATGATCGCTCTCAATCATCCAATATAAATATTTAGCATATGAAATGTAACATTAATTTTACAATTTATGAAAATGTAGTATATATGTATTATATTTTTAAACTGCAGAACTGCATTTCTGTGTAGTTATCATCCACGTCTGGTTTATAATTTGGCTTCCTGTTTCTTTCTTTATCCGTAATATTTACGGGAGGGCGTTAGCGTACGGGAAATTCTTTAAATCATGCTACTGTCGTAAAACTTTCGGTTTTACGATACTGAATTCAGTATAAAGTTGTAAACGCGTCGCGACAGGATTCTCGCCAAACGACTAAAAAGTAATAAAATAAAGAATAAAGTAAATTACTCAGCCCACGATTGCTCCGCCGTCTAATGCTTTCCTGGGTCTTTTTTTCTCCTTCTCTCTCCCTTTCTTCTTCTTCCACTCTCTCTCTCTCTCTCTCTCTCCCTCTCTCTCTCTCTCTCTATGGCTGTTCCGCCTGCTCCTTTACGGCATTCGCATAACATTCGCGAAGTTAATAATTTAAGATCGCGCACTTACTAATTACCAGAGTTTAGTGGTCGCATTCTATACGGCATTTCTGACGGTATTTACACGCGATCCACACACGCTTTGGCACATTGAGACAGCTATAATTATGAACGCGAAAAAAATACGATCGCGCGAAGCGAATTAAAATTAAAATAAATATCCGCGAAACGCAATTCGAGATGCATAATAAGGCATGATCGTCACTTGTTGGTTGATCGCTCGCGCGATTACGTCTCAATACAAAGTCGCGAAACGCGCGTCGACTATCGCTCAACAATTGATTAAATATGACTCTCTTAATTGATACTTATATAAGTTATAAAATAAACGCGTCGTCGCGATGCCACTCGATCAAAAGTGAATCACTTTTAATTCAACGTTTCTGAGACTAATGCTAGAGGGCACTGAAAAATTACAAAAATCCTTTTTATCTCAAGAGGTTCTTGTGGTTTGCATCTCCTCTCTGACCGAGCAGCGCAACACTGCACAGCTTACCGAACTCGCTCAGTCGATATAAATACATTGCAGTATTGCACTTTGTACTTTTTAGATAGCATTTATATTAATAATTTTTTGTAAGCACAGCAACGCCACGTTCAACTTTATACCTTATTTCTGTTCGTCGAATACTTGATGGGACATGGCAATAAATATCATCAAGAATAGTTTAACGAGATCAATTAGAAAACGTAAGTTTTATAGATGTCTCATCCTTTTTTCCCATAATCTAGAATAGAGATTAGAATACTGTTTTAAAAGAAACTCGCAGTAATATCTTTGTTCAACGTACTGAATATGTATATATATTCAGATAGCACACAGGAGTTCAAAAGCATTCATTAGTATATTCAGTCATGTCATCATTCTGAGTTTATTTTCAGGTGTAAAAAGAATATACTTTTTGCAGACTTTTTCGAAAGAGAATTCTTTTTACATCTGAAAATGAACTCAGAATTGATGACACAGGTATGACTGAGTTCTCTTTGAACTCTTTGTACTGAGTATATTATATTCTACACGTTTAATTAATTGTGATCAACTGTTTCTCTTTTAAATCATATTTTTTTAATTTTAACAGTTTTCTCAATCGCTTGAATTTAGTTATTGAAATTATAATTAGCTATTAATATTAATTAGCTATTGTATGGTAATTATTATAATGTTCTTACTATTAAAACTTTGCAGATTTACAAGCTGCTTCTGTGCTGACGGAAAGATATTCTACAGAAATGTCACAGACGTACAAGACATTGGCAGTATCTACCCCGAAACCATTTGTTTACATGGTCAAGTTGAACAGGCCAGAGAAGCTAAATGCAATAAATATATCTATGTGGAAGTAAGTAATCCCTTGTCCTGTTTTTTTCACGATTAAGCACTTACATTCTCATGAATTGTTTTCATTTAGAGAATTTAAGGAATGTTTCGACGGATTGTCAATGAATCCAGACTGCAGAGTAGTTGTTCTGTCAGCTGCTGGAAGGGCATTTTGCGCAGGTAAATTATAAAATAAATCTAAAGAATTTTATATATGTATTTATCTGAGACATCTAAGTGCCGAAGGAATTTTATTTCAAAATCTGACAATCTGACGTTGCAGGAATTGATCTGCAGGGAATGATGGAATTAGGACAAGGTTTAGCGGAGTACGAGGATATTGCGCGCAAATGCAAATATCTGGAATCTAAAATTAAGGATATGCAAGATTCATTTACTGCTTTGGAAAAGGTATCTTGTTATTCACAAAGATATGACTATTTCAGCAATATGATGATATGATAAAGATACTTATATTAAGTATTTGCGTTTTACGTATAAATCTAGTTTTCATAAATATATTAGATGGATTGTTTCATTGTGTCTAACTACCATGAAAGTGACAATGCAACATCATTTTGACAGTGCTCGAAACCTGTGATAGCCGCTGTGCACGGTGCATGCATCGGTGCGGGCGTGGACATGATATGCGCAGCTGATATACGTTACGCTTCATCTAACGCATATTTTCAAATAAAGGAAGTTGACATAGGCATGGCGGCCGATGTAGGTACGCTTCAGAGATTTCCGAAAATTTTGGGCTCTGACAGCTTGGTAAGGGAGCTTGTCTATACAGCGCGGAAGTATCCAGCTACCGAGGCGCTGGAAAGTGGATTTATAAGCCGCATGTTGGATAACGAAGAGAGGTAAAACAACAAATTAACTGAAGCAAAAAATATAAGCATAATGATTATTCGAATAGAGTGACGTAAATTATAATAATGATTATTTGTATTCTCTATTCAGCTTGTTGAATAAATCGATAGAAGTTGCTGAACAGATTGCCAGTAAGAGTCCAGTTGCAGTGCAAGGTTCAAAAATGAGTATAGTATATTCGAGAGACCATTCTATCCAAGAAGGATTAGATCATATTGTAAGTCTCCTTTCTGCTCATTCCACCTGAAATTATACAATAAAAATTTATTATTCGCTATAAATATTACACACGAAATAATTTCTCATACTTGAATACTTGAAAGGTAGCATTTCAATAACACATTTTTGGGATCTGTTTCAATAGGCGATGCAGAATAAGGCGATGCTTCAAAGTGAAGATTTTTTGAATGCAACTATGGCACAGGCCGTTAAAGGCGATCCTCCAATATTCTCGAAATTATAAATTATCCTATTCTCGATTTTAATATTCTTAATATTTCCAACGTCGCATAGATATTTTTATAACAATGTTATATTAATGTTAAAAATGGATACATGTATTTTTCGGAAATGTATATTTATACAACAAAATATAAGATAACTTTGTATAACTTTTCTATTCACAGATTTTGACATATCGTTAAATTATATCCCTTTCATATATAAATTACGTCCACTAAAATAATATATATATTTTTTTGCGTTAAGTATAATCTTGTTTAAAGAAAATGCTTCCCCATCTGCGTTTTTTAGCCAATTCTGCTGCTTTTTCAGCTTCCATTTCTTCAACAATATTATAAACATTAATATCTTTGGGAATTTTTACCTGTAATTTTTGTATCTTGAATGATCTCAAATAATAGATTTTTAATAACGCAATAGTTTTTTCAGATAAAATGTAGACTCTTGTCGAAAGAAATCTTAACAATAATTGGAAATAAAATTATATTTTTACGCACAATTAGCAAATTGATGTAATCCTCATAATTAATTTTTCCAGTTTCCGCGTCACAGGCTACGGCCATCATGTCGGCCACTTCTTCCTTCGTGAACGGCTCCCCAATTTCCATAGTTGATTTCTCTAAATCCTCTTTCATGATGTATCCGCGATTCTCAGGATCGAATAATTGGAACGCTTTCAATAATTCTTCTGGTTCTGCTGGTTTGAACCTATAAATACCAAGCAAGTTATAAACAAGACAGTCACTGTGTTATATTATCCGTTTTCCGATGCATCGGTTAAATTTATTCCGATAATGAAAAAAAATTCACTTGAACGTACTTGCGTTCATTGATCACTTTGCTCATGTACTCTACAAATCGGTTTATTGGCACGCAATTACTTTCGACATCTTCAACTTCTACTTGTATTTCTTGTAACTCGGCTTCCGTGATGACACACCCTGTTAAATAATATAAAAGAATTTGAATGTTGTGTGTGCTCTATAAAATTATACAAAATTGTTAGGATTTTTGTATTGTGAATGTTACCTAATGATCTAATTATAGTTCCCAAATCTCTAACGTTTACCTCACCAGTCCTGGCAGTATCAAACACATCGAACGCCTCGTAAAGTCTTCTTTCTAACAATGACGGTTCAAAGATAGGCACTAAGTGTAAAACACAAAAATTGTTAAATATTGTTGAATTGACACAGAAATTATTATTAAGATACTTACTGATATCTTAGAAAATATAGTTTACAAGTTTTTTTAAAGAAATAAAGAGGAACGATTTTCAAGAAACTTGACTGATACGATTAGCTTCTAAGAGAGAATTGTTTGATCAATAAGTAATATGAAACTGTGCAATCTCAGGGAAGTTTTAGTCCATTAATGAGCTTTCTCATATAATTATCTTTATATAAATCGTACAGTTAAAAAAGTTTTAAAAAAATTGAAAAATTTTATTTTACATCTGTACATGTTAATTACAAAGTCTTTGACTAGTACGTACATCTTAGAGTTTCTCTTCGTAAAGTTATCCGTCTTTCGACGATACTTTTTCTGGGCGATATAAATGATTGACGCATTTTTGGAAAGATATGTCGTCACACTAATGCAAACAATATTTCTATTATTTAGTTTAATTATGCACAAACAAATTCGTCCAGTATGGCAAAAGATTCCCATAAAACGATATTTTATAAACACTTTTTATAAAATATTACAACTTATACCTCCTGTGTATGACGTTTGATGTCAAAATGCAATAAATTTAGGTTCAATCAATTGCAATCAATAATAAAACATGATTAAACAATTGCAGGAAATGCTGCGATAATTTCAGAAATGTATGTACATACATACTCTGTATGGTCGAAGATATCTTACGCTATTTTTAATATAAAAATAATAGATTGGTTATATAAATATAATACAATTGCAATTAAAAGTGAGCCGTTTGTCGATCGATCTCGATAATATCTTCAATAATCTCTTGAACCCGCGTTCCGATCTTCTTGGCCAAATCTGTTTTCTCATTGTTGGGTAAGAAAAGATAACGCCACACCAAATCACCGTCAATGATGCCTCTCGCCGGATTCCCTTGATTTCGTATGTAACTTTTGTACGTGCTACAAATGAAAGAAAGAATGTGTGTTAATAATATTCTCGATTTACTAAATAAATTAGCAGATATAATATCTGTATAATCATAATTGAAACTTACCGATAAGCTTTCGGATTTAAGCCCGCAATATGACAGATATGCGTGACCAGTACATTTTGTAACATAAGTAATCTCCGATATGTTTTCTCTGGTACTGGCAGAGTGTAACCAAGACTGCCGTCCAACGATGCTAAAATGTAAGAAGAGATGTGTTCGCATGTAAAAAAAAACGCTTGAATATTTAAAAAATATTCCATTGAAAAATGTTCGCAGTATCGCTATTTTTAAAATATATATTTGTACTCACCGTACATAGTGACATGTCTTTTATCAGCACCGGAAAACTGTTTCTTATCATTTGCAGGATCGGTGACTCTGCATCTAATACGAAAGAAAGTGTTTACTTTTTGTCCCAGATGGAAATCCGCCTTTCTAATTAGCTTTTGACCACCCAGACTTTCTCTGGACTCCGGTTGATACATAAATAAAGCTAAATTGCTCTCTCTGTCAGCCACAACAAAACCTAAATTTGTATTATCAATTAAATACTCTATCGTGTACACTTCCACAGGTCTAAAGTCCTGCAACAGAATGAATTATGTATTTTAAATGCTTTCGTAAATGTGATTTATATGTACAGTCGTGGACAAACAGTTGTAACTTGTAACACTTTTTTTTTATAGGTTTCGAATTTATATTTAATATATATACATAATATTATATTGTACATAATATATATTTTGTAGGTAACTAATATTTTGCAAATGCGAACCACGATGTACTATCATTAGTCTAGAGACAGTATAATACCAATCGTGGTTCGCATTTGCAAAATATTAGTGCGTTTTGAAAAACCTATAAAAAAAGGTGTCGCAATCTATTTGTCCACTGTACAGTCAAAATTAATAAATTATACTTACTCTGCTGACGAAAGAGTGTTTTATATTCTTCTCGAAATCTTAGCAAACTAATGGATTTGTAGACGTCGGCTATCAGAATAAGACTTTTGATACTAAGCATTTGATGAATGTAGAGTCTGAGTGTCGATAAAAACGACACCAACAAGATCGTTATCTTTCAATTACCAAATATAAATCTGTAACAAAACAAATTTTTAATATTACTTTACAACAGGTATAATTCTTGTAGAAATGAAAAATCGAGAGGGAATACAATACCTTTTGTCCAACAGCTGAGACTAAAAATTCTGATACTGTTATAGCAGTTATAGGTCCCTTTTGCTCCTTTGCGTACATCTGTTTAAATCTATTCTTGGTTAATGGCTGGCCAGGCTCAGGCACTACTTCAATTATGTCGAATATAAGTATCTGAAAATTTAAGAAAAAAAAATAAAATTCACCAATTGATAAAGCTCGAAAATATTTTCGATATGAATGTAGACTCACTCGTCCTCTGCTTGTGATATCTTCACCGTAATTATAATTTGTTCCCAATACTATGTAACCTTTCAAATCAGACCTCGTTCCTTCGTAAGCCAGAGAAACGTTCTTTAAGCAAGTGACATGTTCCTATTAGTCCAACTCGATTTTTGTTGGGAATCGTTTCCCATGAAACGGGAAAAAACAATACAATAGACAGTACAATTGTTCTTGAGACGGATAAAGAAATCTTTCTGAATGCTCCTCTTCCATAAATTCCTAATTGATAATAATCAATATTAATTTTTAGTATCGCTTCTAATCTATTTGATAAATAGCTATTCATAAATAGTTTGGTAAAACTGAAAGAGATAAAATATTTTCTTTTTAATACCTTGTCTTTGCCGTTAAATCTATAGTAACTCTTGAGAGGTTCAGCTGTGCTTGTTATAACACAGTAGGTTTTGCTTTCAAGATGATACGTAACAAAATTCGGGGTGCATCATAAAGGGACTTTTCTAACTGGCCACGGAGCGTCGTACGATAAATGAGTCGGTAAAATAAAAGAGCTACATCTGTAGCTCTTCCTGGAAAATAAGACATGTGTCATCTTTTATCATCTTATGTTACTAATAACCGGTATTCATAGTCGATTCTTATATTTAAGACAATCTTAAGATATCACAAGCCAGTCACAAAGCCATTTAGACATCTTAAGACATTACTTGAGACAGTCTTATAAAGAAGAACAGACTATGAATACTAGCCTTTTATGAAATATACTGTAAAAATAACGTACCTTTCTATTAGAGTATAGGAAACCTTGAGGACAATTAATTAAATATTAATCTTATTGGAAGATGTTAATTTCAATGTCAAATAAGTCATCATTGTTGAGGCTGGGATCCTTATGAAAAGGTAACACAACCAGTTTTCTGCCAAATATCAGCATTACCACACATCTTCCCTCAGGATCCACTCTTACTATCAGTAATATGATGATGATTTGTCCATCCATCCTAGTCAATTAAAATGTAACTTGAAAATTTGTTAAGAATAAAATTGGGGATAAAAACGAAGTATTTGAAACACGAATTTAATAACTGAAGTTAAAAAAATTTTAATATTGCATTGTTCCTTGCAAAAATAAACAGAAAACTTTCAAACAAGAGTGACAGTTCTAAAAACGAAGCTTAGTTCTTTGGAATTGGAAGCTCGTAGGTCCTTCTCATAAAAATTGCAACCTTTATCTCTTCCTCTTCAAAGTAATGCAACGACACAGTTCTCAGGTCGTAAATGTCCTGATCATATTCGACGACGGACAGTTTTGCATCGCGGAAGCTGAGCAGCAAAGAATCCCTTTGTGAGCCGATAAGATGAACGGACTGCATGGACATGATGCAAGGTGTACTGCGCCAAGCATTCCAGCTTCATTTTAGGAGGACGTGTTTCTGCACAGAGAATAATATATACGCATGTTCTTCCAGCTTGTATGTACATTCGATTAAGTGGTGTGTGAGAAAGTTGAAATAAAAGGGTGTATCTGTGTATTTCTCCCTCCTTGTCATGTCGACGTCGAGAATCAAAACACCCGTATAATATTCGCGCCGGCAAGGAGGCATTTCTCGTGTGATTAAAAAAGTGGCATGTGATCGCGTGCTCGACTCCCGTTGCGGGATGGGTACTTTTGCATATAGAATACATGATCTCGAACGTTACGCAAATTGTCACAGATATATTCTGTTGTATTATATATCTTGAAATATGTGGATTATGTGTGAATGAAATGTGAATTAGTTGTAAATTGCACTACAGTCAGCAATATTATTTTTCGGTGGACGGATCTAGCCGTACTTCTGTAGGAGCCTAGGACTCTTAGGAGCCGTCGGAGTCCGGAGACTGGGACTCTTGGAACATAACCTCTGATCTGTTTTCGCTCTGACGCTTTGATCAGAGAGTATACAAGCTCTGACGATGTGAGTATTTATTTCCTAAGGATAGAAAACATTCCTTTAGCTAAAGTTTCTACAAAACGTTTTTCTATTGGATATCAAATATTGTTCCTACTCAAACATTAAACTCAAATTATTAAATTCCCTACATAATTGTCCAAAAAGTTTCCATTAAATCATAAAATTCGAATCTTCAATCTTTATACTTTATGATTCAGTATTGTTTTTATAAATTTTGGCACCCTAAACTTTCTCTTTATTGAACACAGGATTTTCCTTTACTAATCCTATATCATACATTTTTAATACAAAATTGTATACCCATTGACGTATGATGTATTTTAATAATATCGATGTATATTATCGTTGAAAAATTTTATTTAAATCGATATATTATTAGTAAAAAAATCTTGTAGACTTAAATGTAAATCTATAGATTTTAGTACTAAGGTTTCATGAGTAGCAAGATAATTTAAAATTGTGTTTGTCTAATTGTAAGTTTCATTTATCCAAGATATAAATTGAAATCGATATAAAGCTATAAGATTACATAGAAAAATTGGTTTTAATAACTAAACTATATAAACCACTTGCTGCGCGCTTTCTTCCAAATTAAAATCTGGCTGTTACACGAAAAAAGAAAACCGAAAGAAAACTGGCCCAAAATACGCGATAAACAAAAGCCCAAGGACCCTCCAGCGTATCGCACACACATGTACGACGAAACGTGTTTGCCACGTGGAGTGGGAAACTCGTTCGCCGGGCGGTAAGGAGAGGGGAGGGGGAACTCGTTCGCGTCGGGCGGCGGGGTGGGGAACCCGTTTTTCGACGGGGGTGGGGAACGCGTCTGTCGTCGGAGGGAGAACGTTCGAGGGCGAGTACAGGCTGTACAGGCGAGTAGAAGTAAAGGGAAGGGCTGTGCGCGCATGAAGCGGCCCGAAGCGTACGACGAGAGAGGAGCAAGTCCGTGTGGCCGCGCGCTGAGGCATTGGCGCAGATCTCGGCTTGGTTCACGCCGGTTCACGCGGAAAGAGGGAACGCGAATTCTCCGCAACGGACGCAGAAGCGAGGCGTGCACGCACGCGCCGCTGACGTGCGTTTGCTCTGTCGGAGTACATTCGAATACGTCGTAGACGAGGAGGGAAAAAAGCAGGAAAACTTCTGGGCGGCGAAAACTGTGTGCGCGAGTGAAACGAAGCGAGAAATTTCGTTGTGCGTTTGGTTTTTATTTTTTCTGGTGGATTTCTCTGGTGATTCACACGGTGCCACTGGTGATTCGTTTCCCGGTGCCGATCGAAGAGAAGCGGCCGCACCGATTTTCGGAT